GGCTTAACAAAGTCAATTGCATTGGCAGGTCATTTCGATCTTAAAATGCTCAACAAATGTTAACAGGATTAACTTTGCTTCAGAATCCTAAACAAACCTCGATTTCCAATTTCCCCTCTTTCTGTTCAAGGTGGCCGCTTTTCAGAACAAGGCTCCGAAACCCATTGGCGGGCAGAGGTCTGCAGACCTCTGCTCGGAGATCCGGAGAGATTCAACTTCCCCAGAGATCAGAAGGAGTCAGTGATCCTGGCTTCTGTTTTGCCACCACACCTCTCCCCTTCAATACTCATCACTTTGCATTGGAAATCATGAATTCCAATGCTGACACTTGGAGAGTTTTTAACATTCGAAAAGATCCTCCATCAGCTGCCCTCTGGAACCCTCCAACACTATGGAGGAGCCCAGATGGGTTGGGATTAAATGTCAAGTCTGCCTTGTTCCCATTCCTTCTCCCTGGCCAACAATGACTGGAGCTCCCCCTGACTGCAGGCCTCGGATGGGGGAACTGGAGGGGAGAGCCGGCTTTATCAGGAACTGGCTTGCAGAGGAAACCCTGCCAGGATCCTGATGAAGATTGCTCTCCCTCTCCTTAAGAAAGAGCCTTTTTCTGCCTCAGCACAGAGCCCTCGGGGCTCCTAAGTGGAACCTGGAGGAATTCCATCTTGGAAGGAGTCGGGCCTCCAACAAAGGGAAGTAAGCTCAGCAGCTCCATGGCCCAGAAGGAAGGGTGAGATGAACCCTCAAGCTTCAAGGGCTCTTAGAGAAGATGGGTTCCCCTCATGGCCCCATCTCTTGACTCCTTCTGGCACAGTGCGTGTCCTCTGATCCCCAAGTAACCAGGGCAACAGTGTGGGAATTACAGCATCTGGTGCCAACTTGAGACTATTAAGAGTGAAGGGGTAGCCTGTCAATCAAGTCGCTGCTTGATGACCTCATTTGGAGGCGCTATGGAGATAAATAGCTCACTGGAGGCCAGACCCATACTCTCTGCTTCTTCTTCCTGCTGACAAGACCCATGGAGCTACACTGATGGAGCAGATGTAGTCAGAGCCCTGGAGCTGGAGGAGCCATGTGGAGACCCACGCCAGCACTGAGATGCTTCTACAACCACTGGATCCACAAGACTTTGCACCCTCTGGCTTGTGATCTTCCTGCACTCAGCATCAGTGCATGGCTGCATGAGTCTAAAGAGGAATTTATGGACTAGTATTGTGACATATTGGGTACTATCGGACTTACGGACTTGAACTTGGATTTATGGACTAGTATCAACATATGGGGTAAATATCAGACTTATGGACTTGATCTGGACTGGCTGGGAATGTTTCCAATGTACAATTGCTCTTTGATATAAAGTTCTCTCTTATACACATGTAGTGTCTATGAGTTTCTTTCTCTAGTCAACCCGTACTAACACAAATGGACACTAGCCACACAAGTCACCTTGTGTGGCTCTGACCTGATGGTACCCAGGTCTCCCGATAACGTACCTGAGATCTCTCCGCACCCAGGACGTTCACCATCACATCCATCACCGTCTCGTGCATGCCGAGGACTCTCATGAGGTTGGGATGCTGGTAAAACACTTTGTTGTTCATGATGTCGCTAAGGCAAGGGGGAGAGAGAGAGCGAGACATTTGTGCGGGTGTACTTCTAGGCTATGGAGAGGCAGGGATATGAGAACACAGAAAGAAATGAACCACCCCTGGAGGATGGAGGTAAAAGCGACAGGCAGAAACCGAAGAAGCTGAACACATGCCATGTTGTTTCTTAAGTCACTCGATACAAAGCCACATCATAAAACCACAAGGGAATGAAGCTAGAGAAATGGCCTGCTTGTTGGGGGTGTGGTCCCTTAAGGGGTGATTTTCCTCCCACCCACCTTTCCCTCCAGCGTGGCGGCTGCTCTGAGAGACCTGTCCCTGCTGCTATGCCTACTGAAGGGACTAGGAACCAGGCCAGCGCTGTTCCTGAATCTTTCACCTCATGTCAGCCTCTCTCAGGGAGTTCCCTCCAAGTTCGTTTTTTGGGGGCTCCCTGACACTCCTCTTTTTTCCCCTCGAGGGTGGCGGGGTGGGGGTCTCGCGTGAGAGACTTGGCGGTGGTTCTGGTTCTTCTAGTAAGATTGCAGGCAGGTCACTGGACCGTTCTGGGCCTTGGCCGCAACATCTGTGAGATGGAAGCGCTAGACTCCCAAAGCACATTCTTTTCACGCCTGCTCTGTCTCTCTTCAAGAGAAACCCGTGAGCTATGGCGATGGGCAACAGCGCCTCACAGAGGCCAACACTGAACAATGACCGGGGAGATCGGCTCTGGGAACAGGGAGGGACCAAGAAGAAGGTCTTTAGGGGAGACCCTCCAAAGGGTTTCAAGCATTCGACCACTTACATTTTCACTGGTGGATTGAATATACTGCTCCTCCCTTCGGTTACCGCCCCCACCCCACCCCCCTGGTGTCTCCCTAGCGTTATTTTCATCAGATTTAAGCTAAATCAGTCTGCTTTTCACCCACAGGACATGTCCATATTTCTCTTGGCAATATCTCCTCCTTAGGAGTGGCTGACAGCCTGGTCGCTCTGTCAGGCTACCAGACAAGGCTGACTGAGCTCAGTGTAAAGTCAGAGGGTGAAATCAGGCGCACCTAGGCGCAGGTCCTTTCTAGGATATATGAAGTTTCAATAGGCTGGGACTCTGGAACATCTGGTGGTATACCAGCCGCTCTGTATAGAGCCCTCTTGACAGAAATGCCCTGTTTCACTGTGAAATACCTACCCCAGCCCATTGATCATGAGCAGCTCTTCCTCCTTGCCCATCCTGACACTGAGGAGGGAGCGGATCTGGCCCAGGGCAGCCAGCAGACTGATGGTGTCGCTCACAGAGGCCTGGCTGATGGTGTACGTCTTCCGCAGGGCCTGCAGCAGCTCCCCGATGCTGTCGTATTGCCTCCGCAGGAGGTTGAACATCATCCGAACAAGCTCGGCATCCTGAATCTGGTCCTCCTGGGCCCAGCTGATCATGGTCTGGGAGATGAGCTCCTTCAGTGTGGCTGACAGGACAACAGAAAGGTCATGACATGGCCAACACCCTGTAGGGATGGCTGGTACCTTAGCGACACCGTGAGGCCCATCATCACGTGGGTGACGTTAAACAATCTCTTATTTTGCAGGCGAGGTATGGCAGGCAGGTGATTGCAAAAACAGTATCTGGTTGCTGAATTGAGTGCAGTGTCGGTTCTGTTCTGACTAACAATGAGCGCATATGCTCGGGAGACAGAAGATTCAATAAGACAACGTCCTGACCTTCAGAGTGCTCCCATGCCAGTTGTTAACATTTTCCCTCCTCATCGCTATCATCCAGGATAACGACTTCTAACTCACCGTCAGTGAGCTGACTTGAACTCACAGGAAGCCTTTAGGGCGGGGTAGAACTGCCCCTGTGAGTTTCCAAGGCTATAACTCTTTATGGGAGCAGAAAGCCTTCTCCACATAGTCTTCTTTCTCTACCTCCTCCTCCCCTTCCTTCTTTCTTCTTTCTCTCACGCTCTCTCTCAACATGCTGGTGGTTTTGAACTGCTGACCTTGCTGTGAACAGCCCAACTTGTAACCACTATGCCAACAGGGCTCCTTAATAACTGTGAGGGTGGGAAACAACTAAGGCGGCGCGGTGGTGGTGGGGGAAGAATGATTGTGGGTATGTGTGGGGGTAGACGGACACTGGGTGAGGGTAGACTGGTGGGGGTAGATGGACTCTGGGGGTGGGGGGGTAGGCTAGACGGGTTCCAGGTGGTGGAGCAGACGCTCCAGGGAAAGCTTGGACATTGCCTCCTCAGAGCAAAGCAGTCGTAATGTCGTTGTCAGGGAGTTCTTTGGTACGGGTATTGCTATCAAGTATTTTAAGGTCATGAAGCGATGAAATGAAGTCATTGATTCAAAGACGTGTCAGAAATGCTTTAGATGATGTAACAAACAAGGCTGTAAGAGATGAAGGCCGGAGGGCCCAGAGCAGCCTAGGAGGCCCCTGGTTGACTTTTTGGCCTTAGGAGCTCTGTCTGGAGTTGGCAGACATGGAATCACGTGTTGTGCTGTGAATGATTTCCTTCCCCACCAGATGGTATTTTGACCCTCTAAACTCTGTACCTCTGAATGTGCCCTTGTGGAAACGGGGGGCTTTGAAGGTCTTAGAAACAAGTTCATTGATGGTAGGCCAACATGCAATCTTACTGGAGTAGGTCAAGTCCTAATTCTACACAACTATTGTCCTTGGAAGAGTATGGTTACACCACGGGCTGTTAACTGCAAGGTCAGCCGTTTGAAGTACCAGCCTCTGAGTGGGAGAAAGATGGGGCTTCTACTTCTGAAGAGTTACAGCCTCAGTCACTCACAGGGGGAAGTTCCACTCAGTCTTATAGGGTCGCTATGAGTTGGAATTGGCAGGTATGCAGTGAGGTTTTCGGTTGTCCTTAGAAAAGAGGAGAAGATGCTCAGAGACAAGGAGAGAGAAGAGGAACACTGTGTGTCACTGCAGCCACAGCCAAGGAAAGCCACAGCCGCTGGAGGCTCAGCGAGAGGCGTGGGGCCATTAGTTTTTCCTTCAGAGCCCGCCAATTCCGAGATCCAGGGCACTCGGCCCACGGAGCTATGGGAGACTAAATCCCTGCCTTTACCAACTCCCCACCTTGTCGGTTTTGTCAGGGTTCAGGCTTAGGAAACAGGCACGTGCTGCCTTGTAAGAGAAATGAAGAGACATCACTAACTTCCAAATTCTGAACTGGCCAGGACTTCTACCAAGGAAAATAAAGGAAAGACCATGGAAGAGGGACGTGAACAAGTTGTGGGACCTTCCGTGGGGCTTGCCCACACAGCCCCCCCCCAAACAGCTGGCTGGTGTTGGTGCAGGAGGGTGGTGCGGATGGGCAGGCAAATTCCAGCTAGAGGAGAGAGGGGAGGGGAGCCCTGTGAGAACCCTCCCAATGACACACACACACACACACACGCACGCACGCAAACACCCTGAGCAGGGGATCCATCCTGTTCTTAAATGACAACTGCATCCACCTGGCTCTGCCCGGCACACTCCTGTGAGGCGTGGATGTCGCTAAGATGCTGAACGCAGAGTTGGTGACACAGGCAGGGCTCAAGAGACAAGGAAGGTCACGCAGCCAATCAGTGATGGCATGAGAACTCCACGGTGAAGGTGCTCTTGGCTCCACGAGCCGTCTCCCATCACCTAGTTTCCCACCTCCAGCCGCCATGTGTGGCAGATGTCTGCTCTAGATACAGTCTTGGCTCATCACAAGGGTTTAAAAATAGAACTTGGTTACCAGCCTCCTAGATGTAAAGGATTATTTTACCTCACTGCTGTGTCTGTCAACCCTGTGGATGTTGTAGGTTCAGACGGGACAGAAGCGTAGAAGTGTAATAAGTAAATAAATAGTACCCAAGTTGGAGAGAAGCACAGTTAAAGCTGCTTCCAAGGGAACTCACCAGGCAGGATGGCTGACTAATACCTGTTAGCTTAGGGACTATCTGTACCCTGGGCGGTGGGGAAGGGGAGAGTGAGTTTTGGGTCAAGCCAGGCTCCTCTGTGGAAATCTGTGCTCTCAGTGACCTATTATAAAAGCTTGGATTTATTCCCTCTAGTTCTAGTTACTATTCAAGGAGCCCTGTTGGTGAAGTGGCTAAGAAGTACCGGGCTGCTAAGCACAAGGTCAGCAGTTCGGAGCCACCAGCTACTCCATGGGAGAAAGATGAAGAATCAACAGGCTCAAAAACCCAGAGGGACAGTTCCTGTCCTACAGGGTCTCGATGAGCCAGGGTCGACGCAATGGCTGTGGCTTGTTTTTAATATTCCCAGGAACAAAGAAAGCAAGAATGCGACAGGCGGTGGGAGCAGTAGATGTTTCTCTGGTCTTCTAATATTCCCAAATCAAACCAAACCTACTGCTATCAAGTCGACTGCAGCTCATAGCAACGCTCGAGGACTGGGAAGACCTGTCCCATGGGGTTTCCCAGGCCGCGCACATCTTTAGGGAACCAGCTTGCCACATGTTCCTCTCTTGGGCACAGCAGGTGCGTTCAAATCACTGAAAACGGTCTGTTAGTAGCCCAGTGCTTAACCGCTGTGCCACCAGGGGGTTTCTGTGACATACAATTCCTTCCGAAAATCTACGAATGACACTCCTCACTCTGAACAACCCAGTTCAGCACAATCCCTGCCACACCGCCCGAAGCAGCACCCCGTGAGCCTGGTAACCAGCTCCCGGGCCAGCCTCTCCGTAAGAGGAACTTTCACCACGAGTTGTCATGAAGCCGGGTCAATATTAGCTCTTCCTGAACCGCAAGGCATTCAGATGGACGAAAAACAACAACAACAACAACATCATACTAAATGGACATTTGTGGCCTGGAGAGTGGCCCGGGTGCACACAGCAAACAGCTCTCCGGAGAGTCAATGGGCGATGGACCGGTCCTTTCTTTAGCCAGAAATGCTTCCCCTACTACTGTGTGCAGGCAGCCTTCAAGGTAAATATGAGCTGATGGGATGAATGCGTGTATACGTGTCACCAAGCTAAGGTGCAGTGGGTTGAAAGAAAAAAAAAAAAAGAGGACGAAGACAGGAAAAGAAGATCTTTGCGGTGTTTTCCATCGATGGAAAGGATTCCCAGGAAGGCCTGCTGTTTCAAGGCAGTCACACCGAGGGGCGCAGGAATGAGGAATGTGAGGAGGAAGACTCCAAAGGACATGGCCCCTTGGGAAGAGCCCTGGGAAGTGCAGCACCGCCTGTGCTCTGATGCAAGCTAGAGACCCTGCACGGGACAGGACCAATAAACTCCAGGCACTGACGCTTCCGGGCTGAGCAAATAGAGCCTCCCTCCCCTGATGACGGCCTCCGGAGGCTGTCTCAGGTTTTAATGGGCTCCTCCATACAAGCTCTAGAGCAGTCAGAAGGTACCAAGGTCAAGTGTTGGAAAGAATACCTTCTCTAGGGTTCGTTAAGCTCCCCATCCCCCCGAATCTCTGAGGACGACAGTCATGAAGTCATAGAACCACATGTGGCATATGCTATGAGCTTAAGAGAGGTCACAGATTACTGCTACCTATACCCACAGTTATCCAAATGTAGTGCACACATCCTTGGATTCCCCGAAATCTTTTAGGCAGATCATTACATCCAAAGCATTTTCAGACAATGATTCTGGAAGTTATTTTTCCATGTCCCCCAACTCTGCTGACAGGCATACGGATTGCACACACTCAATGGCAGGTATAATTGCTGGCACCTTAGATGCAGGCAGTGGTACCACCCCCTACAGCAGTGGTTCTCAACCTGCCTAAGGCTGCAACCCTTTCATCCAGTTCCTCATGTGGTGGCGACCCCCACAACCGAAAAATGATTTTCGTTGATACTTCATCACTGTAATTTTATTACTGTTATGAGTCAGGCGATCCTTGTGAAAGGGTCCCTTGACCCCCAAAGGGGTCGTGACTCACAGGTTGAGAACCGCTGCTCTACAGGTAGTTCTTGTATCCTTCCTACTCAGAAAAATGTCCATTCTCACCTATGGATGCCTTTAAGGGAGCAATGAAGTTTACTAATTTCATTCGGGAGAAACCCCGGAGTACACAGCTTTTTATGCCGTGTGACCAAACAGAAAGCACGTTTGGTGCATATAAAAGTCCAGTGTTTCTCTTGGAGAAAACAAATCACTTGTGTGATGTTTGCGAGGTGAGCTGAACTAGCGGCCTGTTTCATGGAATGCCACTTTAGTGAACTGGGGATCGGCATGCTGAGGTCTGCTCTGTGGCCAACACAATGGCCGCAGAGGGGAACAACGGCTGTCGGCTGGAGAGGGAGCTGGGTAATCTTTTGCTCCGCCGTACACTCCCCATCGGCTCTCATTTCCAGGAAAAACCGGGGTTGTCAATCACAGAAGGTGTAACCCTGAAGTCAACCTATAGCTTGACCTCTGGACCGTTTCTGCTTGTCTTCGTCTGAGAAGCCGAGTCACCTCCAGTCGGGTCACTACTAAATTCGGAAGTCACCAAC